ATGCATTTGACGGAGAAGGCAATAGAGTCAAAGAAAGAGAAATGTAATGGGGCAAGGTCCCAGATTAGCCAAAGCATTAGAGAAGATTATGTATGTAAGTGGCCTTGGGTCAATACACACGGAAACATTTGAAATGATGTTGCAGGAGGAGAATTTATCAAAATCATGGTTCTATGTAATCCTTTTCATAAGGACAATTATATAATATATTCCTGATATGGAAGCATTATAAGACATTTGACCGCAGAATAGAAGAGAATGAATTTGTTTTAAGAATTTGCATTTTAAGATTGAAACCAATAAAAGACGAAATTGAAGGAGCCGAATTCAAATCCTAATGGGGGTAAGCAATGGCAATTTAATTCGATTAAAGATAATTATTATCAATGCCTTCATAGAATCATAATGAAATAGAACGGTTATATGGAATAGAAAATCTAATTTCAGAAGAAGAAAAATATATAATATTTCTTAAGAAGGACAACCGAAAATAGACAAAAAGAAAACAACAATAATACTTTTAGTTCATCTAATACGTATAAAATATAAGCAATCGATTATATAGAAAAAAGGAAAAACAAACTATAATTAATACTATCGTTTTCGACAAAAGACATGCCGCAAGAGCATCAACTTCAACAATATATATATATAAAAATAGAAAATTTAAATTACGTAATAAGTATAATATTATTAAATGATATCTAAAATTCCAATAGAATATTTGTATGCAAAATTAATGCAAAAAATTAAATACGAAATTATTTATAATCCTCCAATAAAAACCTACGAAGGCACGGGACGAAAGCCAGCCTGTAGCTTAGGGGGTGCCACATCGGGCAAAAATAAATTTCATGGGGCGAAGATAATATCGCAACCACACTAATAGGGGATAGAAAGCTATTCAGGACCTTTCGCCTCCAGCGCTTGCCCGCCGCAATCTCTTCTCTTTCCTACCTTCGATAATCCCCCAATCCACGAGAACTCCTACCACATAGTAAATGCTCTCTTGAGTTCGGTTCTTTCGTAAAAACCTTCAATAAATAATATCATCCATTCCATGTGGAGGTACCCTTTTCAATTTAGTAATTAAATTTTGCCACGGAGAGAAAAAGGAACCCCCTAAGCTATTCAAGACCTTCCGCCTCCAATGCTTGCCCATTACAATCTCTTCATTCTTTTGCCCCCAACAACCCCAATCCACGTAAATTCCCACCATATAGGGGATACCCTCTTTAATCCGGCAGCAACGCCAAGCTTAGACGCAATTATAATCTGTTCTCTTTCCATGGCTTCTTAAGTCCCTCATATCCTCCAATCCACGTAAATTGCCACCGCATAGGGAATGCCCTTTTCAACCGGATTCTTTCGCAGGCCTTCAATCGATAATATCATGCACCCCGTATAGAATGCCTTTTTGAATCCAATAATTAGACCTCGCCACGGAAAAAGGGCACCCCCAAGCAATTCAAAACCTTCCGCCTCCCCGCAATATCTTCTCTCTCCTGCCCTCCATCACGCAACCGAACAGCTCCAAATCGTTTGCCTCCAGCCCCAACGCGTATTCGCTAACCTTCCACCTCCACACTTGCCAATTGCAAACTCTTCTTTTTCCTACCCTCAACATTCCCCAATGCACGTAAACTCCCACCACATAGGGGATACCTTCTTCAAGCCGGTTCTTTCGCAGGCCCTCAATAAATGGCCTCATACGCCCCATATAGGCGCCCTATTCAGTCCAACAACTAAAGCTTACTACGGAAAAAAACAGGAATTCCTTAGCTATACATAGCCTTCCGCCTCCAACCCTTGCCCGCTGCAATCTCTTCTTTCTCCTGCCCTCAATAACCCCCCTATCCACGTAAGCTCCCATATAGGGAGTGCCCTCTTCAATTCAATTCTTTCGTAGGCCCTCAACAGATGGGATCATGCGCCCCATGTGGGGCGCCCTTTTCGGTCCAGCAACTAGAACTTGCTACGGACAAAAAAAGGGCACCCCTAAGCTGTTCAGGACCTTCCGCCTCCAACGCTTGCCCGCTACAATCTCTTCTTTCTCCTGCCCCCAACAACCTCCCAATCCACGTGAACTTCGACCGCATAAAAAGCGCCCTCTTCAATCCGGCAGCAACGTTAAGCTTAGCCGCAATTACAATCTGTTCTCTTTCCGTTGCCTTTTGAGTTCCTCATAACGCTAACGATGGGCTCTTCGCCGTCAATTACATCACCGGCATCGCAATACCCCTCAAAGCATCAATTTTTCATTATCAAGTGGCCCGCCTCTTTTTTCGCGCTCCCCTACCAGGCTCTAGGTTCATTTCTCCGAAATTGGCCACACGCGACCCCCCCATCCCTTTACTCATTTCGTTCGCTCCAACAACCTCAAGCCTTGCCTATCGGCTGCCTTTCGTAAATAAAGAAATAAAAATTCAAATCATAAAATCGCAATACAAATCATATATTAATTATCATTACGGCATAATACTAATTTAATAGACGCAATAATAATAAAAATATTTGGAAAATAATAGATGAACCAATAAAAACAAGAAACATAACTTGATATCTTATATAAAAACCAAAATTTAATTACAAACAATTTTCTCTTAAGAATTTGGAAATACTATTGGATTTTTTAAAAAATTATCACGAAAGGTAGCCCTTTAGGGGATACCTTGAGTTTGTCTTGCGAAGCAAGTGTTGGCGCGTCCGGGTCGAAAAATTGAGCGCTCAATTCAGACCCCCCCCCCGCCCCGCCCCCTTGGAACTGACAGACCCCACCCCCTCCCCCCCCACTAAATTCAATTCTCTCCTGGAGAACGTCTTCGTGAGCCTCTCATGATTTCAGGATAGTTGAAACCCTCTTGAACACTCAGAAAGCATGCATATGAAATTCTAATCACGAAAGGTGTTCCCCGACGGGATACATACCTAGAGTTTGTTTTGTGAAGCACGTCAATTCTCTCCTGGGGAACGTCTTCGTGAGCCTCTTTTGATTTCAGGATAGTTCAAATCCTATGATGCTCCGATTCAATGCTCGCCAATGATCTGAGCCATGGGGCAAGTTTGTTCCCGAAAGCAGTGCGAAGGGTTCTTCCGGAAAATCTCTTAAACACTGACACTTCTACACTTACACTGACACTGACACATCCACACTTGCACTTGAACACTGACATTTCTACACGTACAGTTGGACACTTACGCTTAAGGACCTTTCTTATAAAGTAGGTGTTTGTTTTTTAAAAAGAGGTGTTCAATCTGGGATATTATTAGAGTTTGTCTGGACCTGGAATAAGAGTCAGTCTCTAAACTGTCCTACGCTTATTGTCTTGACCTCTCTCCACACACCCATTTATTTACCGGCCAATAGGTTTGCAACCCGAAACGAAAGACGCGTGGAAAAGATTTCAATGTGTGCATTTTTGCCCGTTCCTGCTTTTTTCCAACCAAATTGTCACTGTGCCCGCAGCAGAGACGGCCCAAGTCGCTTGACTTGAAGTGACGACACGATGATCATGATTGCGGCCTTCACCTCGAAGTTAGATGCTGTGAAGAGAGAGCATCGGCTGCACATGGCAGCCCACCACACAGGCGAACACAGAGCCCTCCTGCAAGCCACTGGCAATGACAGACACAGAAGCGTCCAAATCCTCAAGCAAAGCCTTCTTGCGCTCGAAGGAGAAGTTCGAAATTCTGTCGCCAAAACTTCTCGAGACTCGGCTGCGCGCCACTTCGGCAGGGTCTGTCTTTTGGAGCCCTTCTTCCAAAGTCTCAGGAGTCAGCTCAGGCGGGCCACTGCCCTCGTGTTCCAGATAGCGCCTTGCAAAGGCTGTCGAGATGACAACAAACTCCAAAGCCTGCTTTTGGAAGCTGCAGCAGCAACTCACAAGAGGTTGCAACTGGTAGCATGACTCTTTGATAACCTCCATGATGCAATGTTGGCGTGGCGTTTTCGCATATGCCGGTCTGATTCCGCCACGCTCAGGCCCTGAAATGGCTTTTACAGAAGACATGTTTACCAAATAGGTTTGATTTTGGCATCATGAAGGCGTTTCTGCGCAGAAGCAATTGTCAGACCAGTCTCGGAGTAAAATGAAAATGATGCTTTTGAGCCGCCTTTATGTTCACAATCGTGCCTCTGTGTTTTTTAGGGGGACAAGTTTGGAGCACTGCCCACTGTGTTTGTTTGCAAGTCCATTTGACCAGCTTGCTGGTCAAAGATCAAAGGCCAGCTTGCTGGCTAAAAATCATGTTGTTTTGCTAGTGTTTTTGGCCCAGTCACAAAAGGTGTCAACATATAGTTATTCGGCCCTGGCCCTGCCCCAAATGGCTCCACGTGTTTCCAAGGCTTGCAAGGCTAAGGCCAAAAAGTCGTCCAGTGGCCGCGATCACCCTGTTCCACCGCTGGACCAGGAGCTGAAGATCAGGCGCGTCCGCTTGCCGGCCAAGGACTATGATCACTTCACTGACTTCAACGAATACTTGGTGAGCACTGTGGAAAGCCAGCCACAGGACCTTATGCTGCTGGTGTGGAATTCAGTTACGCTCGAATCTTCAGACTGCTTGTCGCTGAATTGCAGCGGGCCACGGCGACAACAAGCGCTACCTGACATATTATTTTCTTGCATGTGAGGCGCCCCTTGTCATGACGCGTCTGAATCTGTTTAGACCTTAGGTTGATGCTCAAGAACTTGCTGATCTTTTCCAACGATGAGTTCTTCAGGGGATTCCAGCCGCCGGCATGGTCGAGACAGGGTGACAACAACAAGGTGCTTTTCGTTTTCCGACATATCGGTTGCGCGTGCGGCAAGCGCTTAGTTCCATGGGCACTGCTGGGCAAACCAGTGTGCAGGAAGTTCTTTGAAACAATCCATCAAGTTGGCCATGGCACTATAGACCAAATGGTTCTCCATTGCAAAAATGGCCACACATCCTGGCCGCAACAACGGGGTCCTAGACTGCAAAGAGACGCTCCTGCCACCGATACCGTGGATGTTTGGTTCATGACGGTGTACAATGACCTGGCTGAACCTCTTGCCATTCCTGGTTCGGAAGGGCGGTTGGAATCTGCTGGGCCTGAGGAACAGCTGCAGCAACATGAAGTAGTGGACGGAAATGACCCGTTGCTGTCAGTCAGTCTCAATTTGAGGCGGCACGCGAGTCCAAAGACAGACCCGCATGGGCGGGTGCTGATCCCTAAAAGGTATTTGAATTTTGCAGATGAGTCTGCTCTATTCAACTTCTACCAGATCGACGAACCATCTCCGCAGCAAGTTTCCCGTAGCACCTTTCGAAAGGCATGGGGAAAATGGTCGAGGATCATGGCTTTCAAAAACAAAGGTGAGAACAGCAAATGCAACATTTGCGCCAGGTTGACAGTTGAGCGAGCTGAAGCTGTTAAGCCATCGGAAAGGCTACGTGTCGATGCTGCAAAACGCCAACATTTAGATTGTGTTATGGCTGATCGATCAGTGAGCGTGCGATGCAACAAGCTGGCATCCCGAGCAGATGTCTGGCTGACCAAGCAGAATCATTCCAGCATGTGCAAGCTGATGCTGGATGGAATGGATCAGTCGAAATTTTCCATACCCAGAAGGAAGGATATGAGTGGCACCTCTTCCTGGTCAAAGTGCTGGCGCCCGTCCATCCATGTGACCGGGTGCATTTGCTTCGGTCAATTCGAGTATTACGCCATCATGAGACCTGACCAAGCCAAAGACAGCAACATGAACGCAACCATCACGTGCCGTGTACTCGATCTGCTTCACACCAAACTGCAGAGTCAAGGCCCGGAATACTCCTTTCCACCAGAGCTTGTGTCTAGGTTTGCTTTCAGTTTTTCATTTTGATGGTTAGCGTTGGCTATCAAGCTGTCTCAGTCCAACCAAAGTTTTGACCCAACCCTGGACTTGTTAAGGTAGTGATGTGTGACAACACACCAAGAGAAGCCAAAAACGCATTCTATGCATCATATTTATCCACATTGGTGGGTAAGCAGCTGTTCAAGCAAGTGGAGTGCCACTTTCTTCAAGTTAATCATACGCATAATGAACTCGATCAACGCTTCAGCTCAATGGCCAGCGTGATAAAGGGAGCTGCCTGCTTGGAGGACATTGCTGATTTGGTCGAGTACTTGAAGGATCACATGAAAGCAGCTGTCAACAGAGAGATTGTGATCGAAGAGTTGACAAATACTATGGATTTCAAGACTTGGCTGGGAGATGCCAACCTACATGTCCAAGGGCTGACAAGTACCCACTTGGAGCCGCACGCCAATCATGTTTGGAGATTTACTCCCCGCACTGAAGTGGACCCGGCCCATGGAGCTATCGAGTGCCATCACCCAGATTGGCGTGGTCTTCCGGAGCATCCACAAGATGTGATCTTGACAGTGAAGCAGTACATGAGCTCCCCATCTCCATCCCAATGTCCGCAGCTGATTCTACCCTTGGCAATAAGCGAGAAATTGCAGGAGGAGAAGCTCAAGCCTGCTGCCCAGAATCAATTTAGCGAAACCACGCTGCAGGAGTTCCGGAAGACAGCTGAAATTTTTTCCCAGCCCCCATGGTCTATGCTAAAGGCCAAATGCTTTTTGGAGGACCTGTGTGACAAGAATCAGACCTGTCACATGTATCCTGGCTACAAGTTTGAGTTCTATTTTTCGGAGGATTTCGCAGAGCAGCGATGCCTTGAATCAGGGCGTTTGGACGCAGCTCTGCCACAAGACTTGGAAACCGCTGATGTTGAACCTGAAGCGCCTCCACGTCGTGTCATGGTTGTCAAGGGCAAGAACAAGCCGCCAAAGGCGAAAGCAAAAGTTAAGGGGGCTGCCAAAGTTCAAGCCAGCAAAGCAGTTTTGAAACATCCAGCCGCAAGTGGCGTTGTTCAGCCAGAGCCTATCGTTGAGGCTGGGCAAGAACCAAGACCTGCGGGTCAGTTGCTGAAACGCCCGGCCAGCCAAATGGAGACATGGGCTGACAACTCTTCATCTGCTGTTCCTGCAGGCCCTGGCGCTGCCCCAGGCCCAGATGGTTTGCCAGCTGGTTGCGAGTGGGGCTGCTCAAAATGCTACAAACGCCCTCCCGGGTGCAGCCGATGCAGGAAACTGGCCGATGAGGGCCGTCTTGACTTTCACCGTCTTGCCGATGGCAGGATCTACAGGGATCTCGCAAAGCGATGATGCCGGCTGCTGCTACAGCTGCAGCAACGCCCCGCCAGAAAATACAATAATAGTGATCGCGACAACTTGTTGTTGCGACCTTAATAGCCAGCTTGCTGGCCATTTTTGGCCTGACAGCCTCACTCACGACGTGACATGTTTTAACATTGTGACTACGATGCCTCTGCCGCTGCTTTCTGCTCATTGATTTCAGATTCCAGATTGTATACATCATTTCTTAGTGAATTAAGAATTGTTGAAGAATTGTTGTTATATATATCGTTGTCCAGGCCAGGGTCGACATCACATTAAATGTGTTTTTCGGCCAGCAACCGGTGAGCCATGATGTCGGAGACCAACTCCGAGCTTTGCAGTCCAACTGTTTCTCTACCATCAGATGTCACAGATGGGTCACTCTCATTGCCTGACTCTTGTGAGGAGCGCGCAGAATCTGAAAGTGGCTTGGCCCCGGCCCAACCGGATACATCAATGTCCTTGGAGTCGGATTCGGATGTTGAGTTGCCAGATCCTGTGTTTGATTTCGACACGGAGAACATATCGCCAATTGCCTCTGCCGTACCTGCGCCTGAACAAGTGGCCACACACGGGCCGCAGGATTTCAATTTGTTCGCGTTGGAATTGTTTTCCCCTCCGCGCGTGCTTCCACATGTGAGATCCGTTGGTGGCCCATGCCGGATGTCCTTGGATATCCTGACCGGTTGGAACCTGCAGCACAAGGGAGTTCAAGACATTGTTTTTGGCATGTTGGAAGCAGGCAAACCCAGAATGGTTTTTTTGTCTCCGCCTTGTACCATTTTCAGCTGTTTGCAAAAATGCTTTCGCAATTATGAGAAGATGGACCCCAAAGTTCTGGAAGAGAGATGGCGAAAAGGTTGTGACCATATGAATTTGTCGGTGACCGTTGCTGAGCGGCAGGACCACAACGATGACTTCTTCATGTTGGAACACCCACAGCGAGCCTCCTCGTGGGAATTGGAATCCACTCAGAAATTGCGGGCTAAGCAGCGTGTAGGCAGATTTCGATCAATGCATGCTAGGCCTTCGAGCGCCCAATGGTAAGTTGATGAAAAAAAGGACCCGCATTGTGAGCAACAATGCCTGGCTGCTATCCAAGCTGTCCCATTCCCAATGTGATAGGCAGCATGAGCATCAACCCATTGAGGGGTCGATGAAAGGTCGAAGCTTGAGTTGGTGGGCCCAACACTACCCTGATGGCCTGGTGAAAATTTTAGCAGAGAGTGTGAGCCACTAGGCAGGTCACAGACCAACTGCGCCGGATTGTGTCAGAATCTGCACAACTCACGCGTGGGAATCCTTAACCCTAGATGCGCGGATTTCCACGGAAATCTTGACAAGTCAGCTCGCTTTTTGCTTTTCAACGCAAATCACCTTTTGGTTTTCCACAGGCCACTTGCGTGGATTCTCAATATCACCTGGGACTTGCGTCGATTTCCACGAAAATCTGCACAAGTCAGCTTTGAAAATTCCAAGTTGGACTTGCGTAGATTCTGTGTTTTGGGGGCTGGCCCCGCTGCGCGGATTTCCACGGAAATCTGCACAAATCTTTGGCCGTGGAGTTTGAAAGTTGAGATTTTGCGCGGATTTCGTGTCTCAGAGCTCTGCGCGGATTTCGTGTCTCAGAGCTCTGCGCGGATTTCGTGTCATTGCATTTGTTGCCTTTGATTGCCATCTTCAGATTCACTTCATTGTTGACATTCTTATTTGTGTTCAATTTGTGGAGGAAGTAGGGCCGGAGTAGAGTCAGTCCTTCGAGTCTGTCAGACTGTCATGGCTTCGGAAGCTCCAGAGTCATCTGCGGCAACAGCTGCTGCAGCAGCTCCCCCTGATGATGCCTGGACACACAGCGTCATGGCTGTGGATGATGATGGTGCCCAGAGCCAGGTCATGGCTTCGTGTGAGACTTGCTTGGCACAATGCGGCGGGCCGAGTCAATACCTTCAAAGGTATTTGCGGACTGCAGATGAGGGCTTTGAATTCATGGAATGGTTGAGGGAGCAATTTCCGGAGCAAGATGACACCCTCTACCACCAAGAAGCAAAGTTGCCGTGCTTCAAGGACAGTTCAGACTTGGCTTGCGCTGCTCCCACTTGTGTCCATGTGTCTTCCTTGGGGTTCACGAGCAACTGCAGCCTCAAACCTGGGCCTGGGGCGGGTCTGGCAACCTCTTTGCTCCAAGAGTTTCTCAAAGATGGCTTTGTGACTGCTGGTGACCCGCTGTTGGTTTTGCAGCATGAAGCTTGCGTCGCGCCTTATGGCTTGGAGAAGGACAGTAGCAAGCTGCAGCCCTTCAACTTGGCCTACCTGAAAGGTTTTGCCAGAAGCACCACTCTGTTGATGCTCCTTCACCGGTGCAAGGCTCTTGGCTTGAATGGTTCTTCGCCGGGACTGGCGCCGCTGTGGTCCTCTGTGACGAGGATCTGGGTGCATTGCATGGAGTCTTCAAACAGAATAGATGAGGCTCTGACGAACATGAAGCTCTCCAGCCGTGGATCCCTGCGGAAAGCTAACAACTTGATTCAGCTGGTCTTTATGCTCCAGAACCTCAAGTCCCTCGGCCTATCAGACAGCTCTGCCTTTGTGCAGCGTTGGAACAAGATGTCCAGCAAGACATTTCAAATTGTCGGGAGAAAGGCGTCAGCTTTGAAGTTGCTTTTGGAGCAAACGCCTCAAAGTGTTCTCACTTTGATCTTGGACCATGTAAACATGCATGGTTGGGAATCGTGCGTGTGGAGCGACGACAACCTCGGTAGCAAGAAGATATTTTCCGGCTTCCAGTTCAGCTGCTCCAAGAAGTCATGGCTCCCCAGGCTCCGCACTACGGATGAGTCCATGATGTTGATGGTGAAATTTTTGCAAGCTTGCCACGAGCAGAAGGCTAGCTACATGCGAAAGAAACCCGATACTCAAGCAGTTGAGGACGCTGCCGTGAAGGCAACCTTGTGTTGGCATCTTGGCCAAGAACTGCTGCAACAAGTTCCCGTTGACCCCAACAAACTGCAGGCTGAATGGTATGACAATTTCGGTTCCGGGGAAAACTCTGTGGATGGCGAGCTGCAAGCTTTGCTCATGGACAAATCCGACACCTTCGACGTGAAGCGCGATTGCCCCTCATTGCGCAAGCTGGTGGAAGACCACAAATTCTCGAAGCCAGTGGCCATGGACACCGTGGAGGAAGTCTCTTTGCAGGTGGACAAATTTGCTTTGATCATGAAACAGCTCAAGTACGATGTTCAGGTCTACACCACATGGACCCGCAAGGTCTCCAGTGTCAAAAGCGCTCAAGAGCATCAGAGGCATATGTGGCTTTTGGAACGTCGCAAGAGATGCCTGGCAGTGGCTGATCAGTTTCTTTCCCGCAATGTGAAGCTTCTGGTGTGGCAAAAGAAGGTGGAGCTCGCAATCGCTGAGATCATGAATGCAAAACGAGATGTGACCCAAAAATTGTCAGTGCCTGCGGATGAGATCTACACCTTGGTTTGGTGGAATGTCACGTCTCCATGCTTGATCCCGGCACACATCTACCAGCAAAGTGTCAGCCTTTTGGCCTGGGCCTTGAATGACCAAATGAAAAGCATGGCCCTAGTGCTGATGCCAACCTTCAGCTACAGCAAGGGCAAGCTGGTTCTTGAAGAATCGCAGCTTCTCCAGAAATTGTCAGCAGGCAATCACAACATCGATTGGCAGTGGCACTTGCTCTTTTCTGAGCGCAGTGATGCTCGGGACTTGCGACCTCTGGTGTACACTGGCCGCTTTGTGTTCCCCAGTCCTTTGGAATTGCAGAAGAACCCATGGTTTTCTTGTGACTTGAGGAAGACTCAGCGCACAGTGGAGCAGAAACAGCTGGCAGCAAAAGAAATGCGCGAAGTGGAATGCGTAGCGGAAGACAGCCTTCCCACCACCACTGACACCAGAGATATCCTCCATGGAGCGCCGAAGTATTGGCAAGTCGGCTCTACTGCCTGCAGCGCGGTGCTCACTTCAGCCTTCACAGGCGTGCAGCCGGAGCCAGGCGCAACATTGGTCCTAGACCTCTATCCGAGGAATGGTGATATGTGTGAAGCATTCTGCGACTTGAGAAGCCACAGAAACAATGTGCAATATATTGCCCTTTGAGAGTCCCAGGATGAGGCGCTTTACATTGAGAATTACATGAAAGAATCTCTCTCACAAGCGTATGAAGCAGGCAAGTCCACGCCCAATGGTGAGAAGATTGAGCAGAAGATGAGTGATGATTTGGTGGAAGCCACGCCGCCGGCGCCAAACATGAACTTGCTGGTCACTTGTCTGCTGTTTTTTGGCTGCGCACCCATGTCACCCAATTGGTGTCAATGTCCTATCCCGTTTTGTCAAGGTAGCGGAAATCTCCAACTCATCTTCGTAATCCTTTCCTGTTTTTTTCTATAGCCTTCCTGTCCCAACTCAGATGATCAAAGATGAAAACCTGTCCATTCCTGCAGCCATTGTCCGGGAATGGCAAGATCATGCCCAATGTGGAAAAGAGTTTCAGGCTTGGCTGGAGGATTTCCTGAAGCAGTACAAGGTCATCGATCCGGAATAGGAACAGAAACATGCCAATGAGCCGGAGGGGGGAGCTCCAAAGAGGCCTGGTGAATCTGGAAGCGGTGGCCCTAGCCCAAAGAAGCTTCGCGCAGATATGTCTTCAGTGAATGCTGGCATCATTGAGGCGAAGCAGATTTCCACCGCTTTGTTGCATGAGTTCAGCTTGCCCACAGCAAAGGACATTTCTATGGCCCTTCACCTTCGGTCCGAGTCCGGGATCTTTGTGGTGAACAAAGGTACCAAAGAGTGGTCCAGCGTTGACCCAGCCATCGCTTTCTTTGGAAATGGCACATGGAAGGTGCTCAAGGATGCCCAGCAGCTACCAGAGAATTCCGTGGAATTGGCTTTCAAAAGCCACCGCGACCTCGTTCTTTTGAATGGGTCGGTGCAGTCTTTGGGGGTTGTCTTGGCTGAGATGCGCGCCAAGAAGCCCGATGCAAAGATTTATTACCACAAGATCAACGAAGCCGAGAAGCTGAGTGAGTTTAGCCTGACGGTGACCCACCGCGTGATCTTCCAGTCAAAGCTTGAGGCTGGCACCGAGTTGTCGCATAAGAATTGCGGCCACAAGGTGTCAAGTCTAGTGAAGAGTGCCGATTCGCCCCTGCAGATGATCTGGTATGTCCGGTGGAGCACCAAAGGCTTGTCGCCGATTAAGCCAGTCTGGCACCTGATTGGCAATGTGAAGTTGCCTGGTGAGAGCGCGATTCCTTGTCACAAGTAGACTTTAAGGTCCTGCTGCGATGCGCCAGCTGCCACGTGGTCAGGTGGTCAGAGCCAGTCAGTCTCAGACTTGCGAAAGGTGAGAGGACCCACCTTATTTCAATTTTGAATGTGTGTTGTTTGCCGTGTTTTTGCCAATGACACGAAGCTGACGCGCTATGGCGGCACTGCCATCTGCACGAGGTCGGGCCAAAATTTGACATGGATATCATATATTTAGATCATTTGCACTATAGGTGTATGCTCCCTTTTTGGTTCATCACAGTTTTCCGAACCTGATCTCGCAATACCATCGATCATTTGGCAGCATCCATGAAATGTTTTTCAGCGTTTCCATCGCGCAAGCTGGCGGGAATTAAGTCTTCATCATCGGCCTTATACTGAATGACCTGTCTTCGAGATTCCTTATTTAGGCGTCGTTGAGAAATTGTCATGTATGTGTTATACAGACCCCGCTTTTTGACAGCTTCACGCGCCCAGCTGCGCTCTTGCAGCACGGCCCCTGGAGTCGACACTCAGAAGAGTGTCGCTATGTTCACAGGGGTGGACACACAATCTTTCAAGATGCACCTTTAGCCCAAACTTGCCAGCAAAAAGTCCAACTTTCCTAGCCAGCTTGCTGGCAAGGAAGAAGAAGACCAACTTGTTGGCCTTCTTGATTGCTCAATATTTTGCTGCGCGTTTCGATGTCATTGTCAATGATATGGTTCACTTGTGATGTTCCTGTATCTATTCCTTTAAGGATCTGAGCTAGAAGGGATCACCAGAGAAAGTTAATAGGCTGACAGCAACTTTTGGCTTAGTCTGACTACAGCCATGTCGACGTAATAAATATAAGATTCCCAAACAGACTGGATTTAGCTCTTTCCTTTTCGTGGTCGTGAGCCATGATGGATGCAGCTCTCATGGAAGCCTTGCGAGGAGCAGTGCAGGATGATAGAGATGCCGACACTGAGCCGCCCTCTGAGAGGGCATTTTTGCAAGGTGACGCAGACGACGAGACCGAGCCGCCCTCTGAGATGATGGCGCGTTCTGAGATCACTGTTTTGGTTCCTCCTACAACGTTCAGAGCGAGTCCAAGTGAGCCGACCATTGGGGATAAGGCTGAGACAGTCGCGTCCAACGATGTAAAAATCATCCCTGTGACGACATCTCCAACTGATTGGGTTCCTTGCATGGCAAAGGGTTAAGGCAGTCTTCTTGGTATGAGGCATTTTCACTAGTAAATATGATTTTGTTTGGGTGGCGATTTTTGTTGATGCCTTCGATTTTTCTGCTCTGCATCCAACGTCTTTGAGGAAGATGATGACGAGCTCCGTTCCCGTGCATCAGACCACATCCGTCGACCATGTTCAAGCAGCAGCGCTACCCCAACGCGACGGTTGGACCAACTAGCTCAGCGGTTCATGCAATTGGCCGGAAGAAGTGGCGGCGACCTTGTCGAGGCAGTTGGCTGCAGCGCAGCAAGAGAAGGCCGAAGCTAATCAAAGAGCAGTCAAGGAGAAGAGGCTCCGGGAAGACGCCGAATCCTTGATCCCCAAAGAGGATCCAATGATAAAAAAAGGAGGAAAGAAGTTTACACAGCCAAAAACATCTTGGGAATGGCAGCAGCGAGAGAAGAGAGATCGCAAGAACCAAAAAGAAGCCAAACGTAAGGCGAGAAGAGCTGCTGAAGCGGCTGCCGCTTCCGGTGCCAACGCGCGCTGACTCAACCAGCAGGATGGAAAAAAAGCGTTTTTGATGTTGAAATCGTCATCCAGCTTGCTGGAAGATGATCCACAGCCAACTTGTTGGCTTTCAGTTTGCATTTTGATGCTGTCTTGATTGAAAGTAAGCGAGGCCCAGGCTCTCATGAGGTGCGCATAGACATTTTTAAGATTGCAAGCCTATGGCCATCCCGCAACAATAATTGTCAGGTGTTTCTTCTCTTACTCTGCGGCAACGCCGGTACTGTATGTAGCAAACTTTTCTCACAGCTTTCAATCTTATCATTTCTCTTGTTACACCAAATGCTCCGCTAACATATGTGCCGCAATATGCTCCACTACCACCATTCCTGATCATCCTGATCATCCATGTGAATGATGTATATTTCCCAAAGCATCATCTCTGATGTGTTGGGTTCCCGTCTCGGCGTTTTCCGCGAAGAACACAAGAGAAGAAAGCCACAGGAAATGACAGTATATAACATTATCTTGTTGGAAAGCTGGTTGTAATGTCAATGGGCTCGCTGGCGAGCGTGGATTGGGTTTTGAAATCCAAAATCTTCGTGGCTGAATGGGCACGGTTTCAACCATGGTGTCGTTGACAAATTGAACACCTCTTTTTAAAAAACAAACACCTACTTTATAAGAAAGATCCTTGCTTCCACACTTACACTTGAACACTGACACGTCTATACGTATCCCAGTGTAAGTGGAAGAATGAAAGCATCCAACGGCAAGTATCCAAGTGCAAAAGTAAAACTTGCACGGGAGATGTCCTAATAAGTATGCAAGTGTGAGTATGGAAAATTTGCACGGGAGATGTCCTAATGATAACTTGCACGGGAAATGTCCTAATGAAAAACATTTCTCCATTCTATAAATTCTCTCTTAAAGGCGGAGGGTGGGACGAACAGCGTCAACCGAAAATGTAACCCTCTGCGGAGATCGTGCGTGTCGAGTGCGCGAAATGCAGGCGAGAGTGCGATTGGTCCGGTGCGCGCGCGACCCTCTGCGGAGATCGTCCGTGTCGAGTGCGCGAAATGCAGGCGAGAGTGCGATTTGTCCGGTGTGCGCGCAACCCTCTGCGGAGATCGTGCGTGTCGAGTGCGCGAAACGCAGGCGAGAGTGCGATTTGTCCGGTGTGCGCGCAACCCTCTGCGGAGATCGTATGTGTCGAGTGGGCGAAATGCAGGCGAGAGTGCGATTTGTATCGCGCGTGTTGAGTGCGCGAAATGCAGGCGAGAATGCGATTTGTCCTGTCCACGCGCAACCCTCTGCGGAGATCATGCGTGTCGAGTGCGCGAAATGCAGGCGCGAATGCGATTTGTCCGGTGTGCGCGCAACCCTCTGCGGAGATCGTATGTGTCGAGTGGGCGAAATGCAGGCGAGAGTGCGATTTGTATCGTGCGTGTTGAGTGCGCGAAATGCAGGCGAGAATGCGATTTACCTGTCCACGCGCAACCCTCTGCGGAGATCGTGCGTGTCGAGTGCGCGAAATGCAGGCGAGAGTGCGATCTGTCCGGTGCGCGCGCAACCCTCTGCGGAGATCGCGCGTGGTCGAGAGTCCAATAGAGGTCGCTGCGACCGGCCCGCGTGAATTTCAGCACAAAATTCGGGCGCGCGCTGGGATCGAGCTCCCCCAAATTTATTTGACGCACGCACTCCTCAAGACAGGATCCATCTTCAAATTTGGCAGAAACGTTGGTGTGCAAGAATTCAATCTTGCGCTGTCAGCACAAAATTCGGGCGCGTCCTGGGATCGAGCTCCCCCAAATCTATTTGACACACGCACTCCTCAAGACAGGATCCATCTTTAAATTTGGCAGAAACGTTGGTCTGCAAGAACTTGTGCATTGGAATGCGGTGGAGCCCATTGACCAAATCCAGGGCAATTGCCCTTGGCGGAAGGACAACAGGGACGTTGCTAGACATATTTTCGGGGAATCTTTTCCGTATACACAGGCTAGTCGCGAGCTGAGCAGAGAGAGCACGCGAAGATATAGGCAATGGCTGCATGTCACCTGAAGCTACTTGGGCACGTTCAATCGATGAGAAAATGACCAGTATAGTGGTTGGTGAACTACATCTCAAGGGAAGAAAAAGTTACCTGGAGAGCGGTGTGGC